TAGATATTGCTTATATGAATAGTTCTTTAATTAGTTGAGCCAGACCACATAATTTGCCAATCTATTGAAAAATTCAGAAACTATAACAATCTATGAATATTTTGAAATACATCACAATCAATCATCCAATTATAATCTAAATGAGCGGTTCCAAGTATCCATAACAGCCGACTTAGTTTTTTGAGCCTTTTTCAAACCTTATGTCTTATTGTGTCTCAATGTTAAACACGTTAAACATGATGTGTAAACTGGTCAATAGAAATTATAATTAACCCCCAAAAAATTTATTTGCTCCGCTAAAAAAACTATTTTACTATTCAACAACCCGTCAAATAAATGGTCCCACCCCAAAACCAATGGGTTTTTGCTAGTATCAAACAAAATCAGCGCATATTAATATGCCGATAAATTTTTTGAAAATCTCGAGTATCATTTCCGTACTAGGAAGTGACAACAGATATTACAGAAAAATTTGAATTCTCACATGTTGTGCGTGAATTGAAATTGTCCAGTCAATTTTGTATCCAAATGAGTTCATAAAAAGATATCAATATTATTATCTCGACATATTCATCAATTAACCCTATGAGGAATAAATTCTTTATCAATAAAATTTTAATGCGTACTGTATATTATATATGGAACCTTTTCCTCTGGTAAGATTCCAAGATTATCTTGGAGATTTACAGAATTTGGTTTTCCAGGAGAACAACGCAATTAATGGCATACTGCATATTACCGAAAAAGGTTCGGTATTATTGTAATGCATTATAATTTGAAAAATTATTCATAATATTCTCTAGTTCTGAAAAGCTCTATTGGAATTTTTCGGAATTTCTCAGAGACGGCTTTTTTCTGGAAAAGGTTGCCATTTTTTGTTGTTAATTTTTTAGGTGTGAAATGTGTTGGAGTAATAAAATCAATTTTGAAGACAAATAAATCTGAATATTTTGTTGTACGAAAATAATGGCGGTGGCAAAAAGTTGCATATCTCAACAAATATCGAAGGATAAGGCGAAGGTAGGTTTGCACGACTGCAAGGCATAATCAAATAGGTTTAGATTCATTTAAAATAAAAAAATTTATATTGCAAAATTTTTGACGTAAAATTTTGACTAACACAGAAATAATAATTATACAAAAAAATTACCATAATTGTAACTTAATTTCTGGAGATTTCTCATATAAAATTACAAGTTTTCTTTTGAGGCATCTGCTGGTGCTTACTGTCCCTCTATCCATTGCTTTAAGTTGGGCCATTAGAAATATGTCTTGTTCTGATTTAGAAAGAGCTTGAAAGGATTCCCTTAATTCTGCAAATTGCTCTTTGGGAATTCTTGAAAAGCAACCACATTTACAACTTTTTTCTAAAAGGTCAATTGCTTTTTGATATTCATTAGAACCATTATATTTATTATTACTTTTCATATATACACTTATCCCTATATATAATTTTATGTTCACTTTGTAGGTTTTTTTAATTATTTAAAATTCTGTGATGACAAATGAAGTGGATGGAATAGAATTAAATTTGGGTGAACTATTATGACACTGACATAAAGGGTGTTACACATGTCATAAAAGGATGTTACACATATTTTTTAATAGTGAGTGTCACAATTAATTTCAACTTTTGACATCAGCAAAACAATTTGGGCTGCATGTATAATCAATAGTCAAAATAAGAAAAGGCGACCTGACAACTCTATTATATTAGATAGTACCAATCAAAAATAATATAAATAAAGTACTGATTTAATCATAGAACATATGTGGCTTTATTTAAAACAATTGATTTTCAAAAAAATTATTTACAATGGAAATAAAAAGATCAATTGTGGATTGTTTTTTTGTTTTTTATGTTTCCAAAAAAGCCTTGGTGATTTTTTTGATGAATTTGATTGCTAAGAAAATTATTCATTAATGTCAATTTGTAAAATAAAGATTCTTCCTTGTACTTTGAAAAAGTCTTAAAAAAAATTTTTTTGACAATTTAAATGGTGCTTTTGAAAAGATCCATCTAATTGATCTGAGGATATCAAATAAAAAAAATTAACAGTCACAAACAACATATATAAAATCAATTTTTTGCTCAAATTTCATATTTTCAACACTACTATCTCTTATTTTTCTTGAATTAAAATTATTGATATTTAAAAATAAATGGTAAAACAATATCTTCAAAATTTCACATTTCTTTTTCCTTAAAAAGTGAAATACAATAATATCAATTAATGTTCATGCAAAAATAATACAATCCATATTAAAAACGAACATTACACACATTGATTCTTGTACAAAATAATCCATTGATTTTGTTTCCAAAATCTTATCTTTCATTCGTATTTTCTCATAGTATAAACAATGTCTGCTGTATTGACCATGGTTATGTTTGTTAAAATTGTCAGTGGCTCTAACACTTTAACTGATATAGTCACAACTAGACTAGATGGTGGTGAATATGGGATTTCCAATACAAAATATTCAATGTCAATGAGTCAAATCTAATTGAAGAAATTCAACAGAATACCATCATGTTTTTTGTGGGAAAATATGCAATTATTTTTTTTATTTTGAATTTTTTGTCTTTAAATGATTAAAAAAAAGCAGCATATTACTTTTGATGTTCCTTGACTTGAGAAAAAGTGTACTGCATGTTCAAGAGCTTGCATTGCATTCTTTTATTTGTAAACTTGTTATTAAAACCCACATCCCGCAAGCATAATGGACACTCATTTTGTGCAACAGTCATTTGTATAATAGTCAGGCGGTTACACAGAGCCCATTGCTTCTGAAACTTCACTAGAATATAGCTGTAGCCTCTCTAAGTCCAGATCATCAGCAAGATCAAAATTATCTCACACTTTTATAATCAAACTTTTGCAAGAACTTTCACCATAACATATGTTATGTTGATCATTTTTTGTGATCTGCAACAGTGTCCACTATGCTGGTCAGTAGAATGATAATTAATCCTAAAAAAAATTTGCTCTGCTAAAAAAAACTATTTTACTATTCAACAACCCATAAAACCAATGGCCCCACCTCAAAACCAATGGTTTTTGCTAGTATAAAGTATTCATAATGTTATGATCAAACAGTGCATATGCCAATAAATTTTTTGAAAAATCTCAATGATCATTTCTGTATTAGGAAGTGACAACAGATATTACAAAATTACAAACAAATTTGAATTCTCACATGTTGTGCGTGAATTGAAATTGTCCAGTCAATTTTGTATCCAAATGAGTTCATAAAAAGATATCAATATTATTATCTCGACATATTCATCAATTAACCCTATGAGGAATAAATTCTTTATCAATAAAATTTTAATGCGTACTGTATATTATATATGGAACCTTTTCCTCTGGTAAGATTCCAAGATTATCTTGGAGATTTACAGAATTTGGTTTTCCAGGAGAACAACGCAATTAATGGCATACTGCATATTACCGAAAAAGGTTCGGTATTATTGTAATGCATTATAATTTGAAAAATTATTCATAATATTCTCTAGTTCTGAAAAGCTCTATTGGAATTTTTCGGAATTTCTCAGAGACGGCTTTTTTCTGGAAAAGGTTGCCATTTTTTGTTGTTAATTTTTTAGGTGTGAAATGTGTTGGAGTAATAAAATCAATTTTGAAGACAAATAAATCTGAATATTTTGTTGTACGAAAATAATGGCGGTGGCAAAAAGTTGCATATCTCAACAAATATCGAAGGATAAGGCGAAGGTAGGTTTGCACGACTGCAAGGCATAATCAAATAGGTTTAGATTCATTTAAAATAAAAAAATTTATATTGCAAAATTTTTGACGTAAAATTTTGACTAACACAGAAATAATAATTATACAAAAAAATTACCATAATTGTAACTTAATTTCTGGAGATTTCTCATATAAAATTACATGCTTTTATATTTTCTAGAACTTTGTCAATTGAAAATAAAAGAAAAGTATATAAAACCTTGGATCAGATAGCCATTATCCTGTTCATGTTCAATAATACTCATTCTTTAGGCATTTTTGAGATTACGTTCAACGGTATGAAAGGGAATATTCACTTCCTGATGTATTTTTCCTTGATTAATGAGCATTATCAGACCAGTAATGTAAATAACGTGAAACATTTTGAAGTTATAAACTATCTATAAACATTGGTTCTTGTTCTTGTTGTATACAAGTAATACAAGTAAGAATGTTGTACGGCTTTAAAGACATCTTGGGTTGCTAAAATGTGTCTAGCACGACAAGTCAAGGTTCTTCAAAGAAACTTTAAGAAGAGAATAATAATGAAGGATGGTTGTTTTTATTTGGCAGCTTGCAAGTTTGTTACATAATTAGATCGTATAGTCGTGTGATATGGCCAGAATTAGAATAGTTTCGGCACGTGCATGATAATTTGGGCCAAAATTATATACTTCAAATTTTTTTATAATAACTCCAGCCAGAACCAATAAAATTTTTAAAATATTAAGCTCCAAAGTTAATCGATGGGTTATTATGACCCACACTATGCAAATATAAATCCTCTAAAAAATAATATTAATTCTATTTAAATAGTTGAACCGCGCTGACTGGCGGTTTGCCAGCACTCAAACAATGTCCTCTTGAACCTGAAAAGGGCATATTTAATATCAACCAAACATTTGACATCAAATTAGGCATGTTGACATTAAATTAGGCTTTGATATCAATGTCGAATGACGAAATATTAATATTTCAACAAAATTTCGACTAACAACTCCATAAACCCAAGATCCCTTCCTTTATTTATCTCGGTATAAAGTCCGATAGGATTATTATTAACATTCCATGAGTATTGTTTTGACACCATATGGTAATTATCTGTTGTAAATGTCAGATCCTAATTTTGAATGCGCTGTCGAGTTCAGGCGCGAGATAATAAGATGTGATCCAACTAAATCTTCTGTGTCGATCTGTATCTGTCCCTCGTAATTGTCTGTCTAGTTTTGACTCGCCAAAATCAATTATCTTGACTTGTTTAAAAGTATCATCCGTAACATGATATTGTCAGGTCTGATGTCTCGATGAATTATTTGTTTCTCGTGAATATACTAAAAAAAAACTATGATAATTACTTTTATTGCTGAACAAATTTGATTTTCCAGTGTTGGAAATCTAAATTAACTATTCCTATATAGACTTCAAGACTTCTCTTAAAGATGTTTACTATATTCCCCTGTCAACGTAATCATCAACTACTTTTACAATGTTGTTGTGGTTTAATTTTTAATTTCATTTCTATAATAATAAATAAATTGACAATGAAATAATAAATATAAATTTTACATTTCAAATTTGTAATTATTTATTTTTTTCAAATGTTGTTAAAAAAAAAGAATCAGCATAAGAAGAATCTGATTATGTTTAAGTAAAGTATGAAAATTAAGATTCGCGTATAAATAAGTTTGTGTATATTTGAAAATAATTAGCAACAGCTTCATAATCATCATCCCCTTCCATCAATTATCATATCAACCAACAATGAACATGAAATCCATTATGATGATATATAAAATTGCGATGGAAAATATAATAAATCAGTTAAAATATTTAGGAATTTATTGAAGGCGGTAGGAATTATCGGAAACTGTATTGTTGTTAATCAATAAGTCAATGATGACGTGAATGTGAATGAAAATCGTAATCAACGGTATGAATCAAAGGATTCTTAATCGAAGATAAATTTGTATGTATGTATGTATATATGTATATATATATATATATATATATCGTTGTGATTATTATAAATATAATATATAAAGTAATAGTATCTATGATTTGTGTAATTTAAAAAAATTTTAAGGGAAATTTTGAAGGAAAAAAATGATTGCAAAAATATATACATTGATTTAAAAAAAAAAATATTTGAAAATAATAATATTAACAAATGATATAAATAATAATAGTTAAAGATAATAATATAAATATTATTAATATTACTATTTTAATATCTATTACGTGACCTATCTAATGAACGTGGTATTGTAGATCTCCCGGATGGTAAAGGTGGAGCTGCATTAGATTGTCGCTTTTAATTTTACCCAAGAGAAATTGAGAATTGAAAAAAAAAGTCAATATCTTTGCTAATAGTATTATAATTATTATTATTATTATTATGGATAAAATACCCTTGACATATTATTGTTATTTAAAAATCCTCTTCCATATGGAATATGATGATCTATATAAGGAGGATGACCAGGACGATAGTCATTTCTATGATAATAAGGATATTGGTCATCTCTTGCTCTTCCCTGAAAATAAAAATAATATTTCATATATTTTTTTTAAAATAATTTTTTCTCCAATAATTATGAGTAAATCGTACATATTTTAATATACATTTATTTACCATCATCATATTTCCAGAATTTGAATTTGAGCTAGTTGAAGATGGGGAGGAAGAAATATGTGGTGATGATTGTAAAGATTGACCATAATAATAATAATTATTACCATTATTATTGTTGTTAAAGCTATTATTACTGTTATTATTAAAATAACTACTATTGTTACTATTATTGTTATTATTGTTATTGTTATTATTGTTATGGTATATTGAATCATAATACATTCCATTTGATGTGGATGCTGATAAAGTACGGGATCTTTTATTAAACGATGGTCCAAAAGACGGTGAAGATTGTTCTTTAGAACGTTTATTACCAATAAATATTTGACTTTGGAAATGTTCTCCGTCTAAATTTGCAATTTTTAAAAATATTTAATATTTTTGAGATTATTTATTTATTTATTTATTATTCTTGAAATAATTAGATAACTTACCTTTATTTAATTCATCATTATTATTGTTAATGTTATTGTTTTGTAATGTACTCCTTTTCCTATATTTAAATCCAAAAAAACACTTTGAATTTATTGAATTTATTTCAAAAAAATTCTTATCAAATCTATAAAAAAAAATTTTCTTACATCATATTATTATTATTATTATTATTATTATTATTACTATTATTATTATTATTATTATTATTATTATTATTATTATTATTATTATTATTATTAGTGATAATATCATGTTTGGGCTCTTCAGAAACTGTCTCACGTAATTTTTGAAATAAATTTTTTTTTAAAGTTGTCAATTCTTTAATCTTTGTAATTATAAATGCTTCGTCAACATTACCATTATTGTTGTTGTTCTCTTCATTCAGGATTATTCTTGAAACCTTTTCATTGCGATCTTTAATTGTTGTAGTATCTATTTTATTAAATTTGTCAACATCTTTATTTGATTTTTCATTTTCTTGGTTTTTAAAATTTTTATTATTATTACTAATATTATTATTATCGTTACTATTACTACTACTAACACTATTATTGCTATTATTGTTATTACTACTCATATTATTATCATAATTCAATGAACTAAATGATGATGATAATACTTCAATTAAATTTTCTTCTTCATCAGAAATATTATTATTATTATTATAAGAAACTGTCAAAGGATTTTCAACTTCACCATCTATTATAATTTTATTTAAATCATCATTATTCATATTCAACATGAGTTGATTATCATCATCATCATCATATTCACTATGATTATCACTACTAATATATTCACCTTCTTCCTCTGATGATAAATACTCTTCTTTATTATTATTATCATCATCATCATCATTATTAACATTTTTGTTATTATTATTATTATTGTTGTTGTTGTTGTTGTTGTTGTTGTTGTTATTATTATTAGTTAAATGTCCATTTGTTAATCTATGATTATGATTATAATCATGACCTCTAGCGTTCTTATTATTACTATCATTGCTAATGTAGTTGTTGTTGTTGCTGTTATTTTTGTTGTTGTTGTTGTTATTGTTGTTATTGTTGTTACTACTTATACGCTGCTTTGATAATACTTTATGAGTTATAGCTTTTTTTATGTGTTCAGGAACTGGATCTCTAACTGAGAAAACAACATTTGTCAATATTTGATTGTCGTCCATTGCCTTTATCATCATCATTATTATTTATTATTATTATTTTTATTATTTATTATTTTTATTAATTATTATTATTATTATTATTATGTATTATTAGTAATGTTATATTAAATGGGTTTTTAATGAATATTCAAAACAATACCTTGCTTTAATATCCTGTTTATAATTGTTGTTGTTAAAACAACAACAATAGACATTGTCAAAAAGTTTGGGAGAAAATTTATATATGGTATTTTGGTTTAATATAATAATACCAAAAGTTAGGACATATTTAAGTTTTATATATAACTGATTAAAATTAAATAAAAAAGTTAATTCAGTAATTTTGTCTTACTATATTAATAACGATAATGATCCACACATGCATAATTTTTCGAGGGAAAAAATACAGAAACGTAGTTTCTGTATATAGTTTCTAAATTTGTATTAAGTTACACGAAAAAAATTCGATAGTAACCAAATTTGAAAAAAAATCTTGATTTTAACAACTTGGAATCTTATTTTTCTTTGGGAAACTATTATATATAAATGCCTTTTATTATAGTTAGAATAGTTATTAATTTCATAACTTGTCAACTTTTTTTTTAGTTAGTTCTTTTTTTTAGTTATTGTAATATGTTACAATAAATATATTAATAATAATTATGTTATCAGTAGCAAATAATTATTCTTCTTGTGGAAGGAAAAGAGAACTTTTTAATATATATGTGCGTGTGTGCGTGTGTGCGTGTGTATACCATACCCACACCATATATCATTCATACATTGTCTGTTTTGCACACATGCACACAAAAAAACCAGCAATAATTAGATGTCTGTACGACTTTTTCAATAATCTAAAAATTCTCTTTGCTTGTTTATTTATTTACAAAGTAATATTTGTGAATAATTTTATTTTTTTTATTTTTTTTTTATTTTATATTTTTTAATATTATAGACACGATTAATCTTAAGAGATAATTTGTATATACAGTAATTTATAAGTTGTATGTATAATCGATAAAGATTAAAGGTTAATTTTATTTATTTTATATATATATGTATAATATAATAATGATTGTCCAATGTGCAATTCTAAAAAAATTTAGTTTGTTTTATAAAAAAATGTTTATTGATAATCATTATTATCATGGTTGTTGTTGTTGTTAAAAATTTGGTTGAAAGCTCCTTGCAATTGAAGAAGAGATTGTTGTTGTTGTTGTTGTTGTTGTTGTTGATATAATAATGAGAAATCAAAAAAATCAGAAGGAGAAAATGAATGTGGTAATAATAAACTATATGGGTTGTGAATATATGATGAAATATAATCATTATTACTATATTGTGGAATAAATAGTGGTATCGATGAATTATTATTATTATTAGTGGTAATGTTTATAATGTCGTTGTTGTTAGTATTGATAATATTGTTACTAATACTAGTTGCATTATTATCATTATCATTATTATTTATTGTTGGGAATGAATTATCTACAGCTAAATCATCTATTGGACTTTGATAAAATATAAATGTATTACTATCGTTGTCATTATCAGCATCAACACTATCGCTATTGTTGATATTGTTAGAAGGAGATGTCGAGGACGTTGAAGATGCGTGTCTTTTATTTATTAACTCTATACTTTTATTATTATCTTTACTGTTATCAATTTTCAATTTTCTCTTTCTTTTTCTTTTTGAACAATTATCATCACCTTCGTGCCCTTCACCTAGTAGTAGTCCTTTACCATTGTTCTCATGTTGAGTTTGAGAAGAAGATTTACTACTGCGACGACGTTTTTTCTCTTCGGGACGTCGAGGCTTGTATCTATATTCAGGATATTTTTTCATATGCTCCTGTTTAGCAGTTTCAGCCATCTTCTGATACTTGAGTCTAATGTCCTCAGGTTCTTCATGCCACATTTTGCCAATTTCTTTCGAAACATCATTATTTGATATTCCACCATTATTTTTAGCCAATATTGAAGGTTGTTTTGCCCTTCGATAAAGAATAAAAGCGTTTGGTGGTCTTGGAGGTTTTTTGTCGGGTAATAATAATGAAGAAGGTGAAAGTGGTGGTTTCTTTGTAGCGCCAGCGTTTGTGGTGGTTGTTGTCGATTTATCTTGGTTATTGTCGTCTTGATCATTGTCAGTATTATTGTTAACTGTACAAGGTAATGCGTATGATGGTAGACGAACGTCAGTGTCAAGCAGCATTCTTGACACGTTAGGTGCTGTCGAAACCGGTTTAGTGGATTGCAACAGATTGGTGACCGTTTGATCTTTGATGTCGTTTGGCACTAGAACAGGTTCAAAACCATCAGGGATAAAATAGAAATGTCCTTTCCCTTGTTCATATAAATCTTGAATTTTATCATATGAAACGTATTCGAAAATTGGAAATTGGTTTTTCTTAAGTTTAATAAAAGGTGAAAACGAAAAAGAGGTAGTAGTGGTGGCGGTGGCGGTGGTGGTGGAAGGGTTAGAAGAAGAAGAGGAAGAAGAGGATGAGGAAGAAGAAGAAGAAGAAGTCGAGGAAGGAAAAGATGAAGCGGTGGCGGATAAAGGTGATGGTTCGTCATCATCATCATCATCTTCTTCTTCTTCATCTTCTTCGTCTTCGTCTTCTTCAACATTATCATTGTTCTTATCATTATCCTTATTATCGTAGAATATTTTTTTTTCTAACAAATGCAATAAAGAAGATTCGATTAACGATTGTGCTTGGCTTAAATTGGAAGAAGAAGGTAGGGGAGAAGAATGAGAAGAAGGAGGAGAAGAAGAATGGCTATCAAGCTTGTTATTATGATTATTATTGTTAATATTGTTGTTAATGTTGTTTAAAATGGCCATTGTTTCAAATATGTATAATGAAGAAACAGAATGACTCGATGATGATGATATTGTGGAATTGTGAAAAGTTGTTTAAAAAGAGAGAAAGAGAAAAAGGTTAGTTTTTGTTTTTTATTTTGTTGCTTTGAAAAGGTTTTTCAAAAATATTTGGGAAAAAATATGATTTTGTTTCAACGAAAAGATACATGATTTAAATATATATATATATGATTTAAATATATTATATTATTAATATAAAAAAAATTTTTATTTATATTTGTGCATAATTTGCCAATTTGTAACACATTTTATTTGTTGAATATTATCGCCAAAATTAATAATTTCTTTTCACTTGTATTAAAGAAGATGGTTGCATGACTATTTTACTAAAAAAGTTTTACATGTTTTTCTAATTAATATATGTAAAAAAACATAAAAGTGTGTTTATATATACATGCATACTAGTTAATACCGTATATACCACACACATGTAGCTTAAAACTTGGACATTGCAATTTTCCTAAATTAAAATCCTCGACCAACCAACCGTTAGCAAACCAACCGTTAACAAAATAGAACTTGAATTGGGCGAAAAAAAAAGTCCTTTCTGTTTTAATTCGCCCTCTTCTTCATAACCAAATCTATAGTCAATCATTTTTTTCTAATAACTTTATATATTTTTAATTTTAATTTTTTTAGATTAATTATTTGTTTGTTGAGTCATGTTTGTGTGTGTTGCGTGCATAAGAGTTTTTCATAATTAACAAATAAATTATATTGTTAGGGTGTTGGAAATTTTACAATGATCGATAATATACAGTTGGTATATATAATTAATTGAAAGGTTGGTTACACGCCAAATAATGAATAATAATTTTAAGCATATTATAATCCATGATGTAATTAAAAAAATCTCAATGCTAAATTTTAAAAAATTAAATTATACATTTATAGTCGACAAGATCCCCCATTCATAAAAAACCCATTCTTCTCAATAACTTTAATTTATTAATCCCCGCATTAATTCGTGTGGAATTAATATCAAAAAGTTTCAGGAATTTACATAATTGAAAACAAACAATGGTAGTTTCCAAATTTGTCGATATAATTAATAACACACAATGTTCAATAACGTTATATAATAATAAAACGTTATAATATAAAAAATAAAATAAAATTATATTACTGGAAAAGGCAAAAAATCGGCCGTAAACGCCACCTCTTATCATTTTTCTTCCAATAAAAATTAATTGAGCCCCATTCAAATCAAATATATACGAAAAAGTAAAATGTTTTTTCAAATTTGGTAAAAATTAATAAGCTTTTTTTCCAGCATTTACTAATAAAAGAATTTCATCATAAGGAAAACGTACCAATAGTGTAACACACACAGATACAATGCAACTAATGTTATTATATCACCATTATAAACATACTAATACAGTATTAGTATAAATAAATATGTAATTTGCCTTATAAAATGAAAATATTTTTTAATTATGTTTTTACCTATTGTTTTCTACTGACCTCGATAAAATTAAATCTGACTCGGAGAATTTATTTATTTAGATTTAGGTAAAAATTAATATAGATAATCACTAATTGTAAACAACTAATTATAAAACTAGCTGATAATTATATTTATTCGGTTATTTTTTCCATTTTTTTCAACACCTACAAATCGTATAATCTTGTAAATAAATTGTTATTTTTAGTCTTGTTTGATAAAATAAAGCTGATTTTTGATTGTGATTTTTCAATTGTTTAAAATCAAAAAGAAAAACTAATTAATTAATTCATCAATAATATTTCAATCAAAGTCACTTACCTCCTTTACATTCTACTTGCATAATAATTAAAATCTAAACATTTAAGATATATATTCAGACAATATTTATTTTTGGTTCCTTTGTAATCAATTTGTTTTGCTTGTATTTTATTGATTTCTTTAAAAATTTCTTCTTTTTAATTAATTAATAATTTATGATTATAAGAAGCATGATTAAAATAGAACAATCGTTATTTTCTCACCGATTAATTACTATTTAGTTAGTCTATTAATATTATTAATATTCAAAAATGGTTTTGAAGAGAAAATATAAAGAAGAAAATCACGGAACAATTTGTGAAATAAGAAGACCTGATGATTTCATCGAATCAAACAATTCAGCTCTAGATTAGATTGGTTATATTGGTAAATAAATGAATGAATGAATGAATGAATGCACGGCGGGATGAATGGATAGATGGATGAAGTCATAATTAATAATCATAATAAACCATTCGAATAAATCGTCATAATAATAATTACCATTCTTTATATAAAAAAATAACAATACTAACCATGAACTTTGATTGTTTGAATTTCCTTCCTTTCAAAAATAGTAAAGTTATTAGATGCCCAGTTAAGGAAAAATAAAAATAAAACTTTGTTTGTAACGCGTACAGTTTTTCTTTGCGTACAATTAAATGCAGGGAAAGAAAATAATTGTTTAATTACTCGCTTGCTTATTACTTAGAGATGACAGGATTAACAACAGGAACAATAAATAAACAAACTAGTTAGACCATGTTCTTTCATAATCATAATAAATACGCATTTAATTAATGCAAATGCAATGATTTACTCATTTATTATAAAAAATAATAAATTACGAATACACGCGACAATATCTTTATTATTATTATCATTATCACCACTACTATTATCATTATCATTATCACTATCATTGTTATTAATTAGTATTAGTGATTAGTTGTCGATTGATTATTCCTTGGGAATAAAATCTATAACGAGAGAACAAGGTTTATGATTATCATATTATAATGACAGTGATGATGGTAATAACAACAATAATAAATCATTTGTAGTTTCTTTTATTAGAAAATGTGAATTTTGTATACTATCAGTATATCAATATTAATATACGCGTAGATAAATAAATAAACTCATGTACATTTTTGTTTTTGTTGATTTATTCTTCGCATGTATTTATTTATTTTTGCATTTATTTATTTTAATCAATCTGTCTGTATCCAAGATGTCGTTGATTTTATTTCTTCTATTGCTGCGGTTGCATTCTAAATTTTTGTACTACCAGTTGGATGAATGCAGTAGATCAAAACCAAATCTATAAATTTTACAAGTTTTTAACAAATAGATACTTCTTATTGTCCATCATTGTTCAACTAATATACGCGTTTTTTAATATATAATCATTATTATATTATGATTATACAACATGCATATAAAACAGGTAATAAAATAATTATTGCTTATATTGGAAATGCCTAGAAATCTATATTAATTTATACATGTATACAGATTATAATTCAAGGCTTTAAATCTTACAAAGATCAAACTGTTATTGAACCTTTTAGTCCAAGACATAATGTTGTTGGTAAGAAGTCATTGCAATAATTAAAATAGAATAAACCTTTCATTCAAAATTTTTTTAATTATTATTATATTTAAAAAAGTTGGAAGAAATGGATCTGGTAAAAGTAATTTTTTTGCAGGTTAGAAATTTTTCATTATGATTAATTATTTATCTATTTGTTTGTTATTTGATAAAGATTGGTTGATAACTTTTTTTTAAATTATTAAATAAAAACCATAATATAAAATCAGCTATTCGATTTGTATTAAGTGATTCATATACAACTTTGAGTCGTGAGGAGAAACAAGGTCTTCTTCATGTAATTAACAATTTGATCTTATTTTACAAACTTATATAAATCTATCTATACATATGTATTGCTCTTTTAATAATAATAATAATTATTATTATCATTTATTACTAATAGGAAGGAACTGGACTTGCTACAGCATCAGCTTATGTAGAAATTATATTTGATAATAGTGATAATAGATTTCCTGTTAGTAAATGATTATTATTAGTTGATGATCATGATTGATCTTTACTGCCTTAAAAAAAAAACTTTGATTGATTATATTTTATTATTATTAGACTGGTAAAGATGAAGTGGTTTTACGTAGAACTGTCGGGACAAAGAAAGATGAATATTCACTAGATAAAAAAAGTGCAACGTGAGTTTTTTTTTTTTAAGAATTAATTAAATGTGATTGTGTATACATGTGTTTAAAACATATTCTCTAATTTTTTTTTGTATTTACTTTTTATTATAGGAAAGCTGACGTGATGAATTTATTAGAAAGTGCAGGTTTCTCACGTTCAAATCCCTATTACATTGTGCCACAAGGAAGAGTAAGTATTGATCAATATTAAAGATTTGATTTTTTTGGGGTATTGATTAATTGCTTAGTATATATACAAAATATATATATGCACACACACAAAAACGTGCCTATGCAGATAATGGCTTTGACGAATGCAAAGGATCTTGAACGTTTAAAATTATTAAAAGAAGTTGCTGGCACAAGAGTATATGAACAACGTAGAGAAGAAAGTGTTAAAATACTTGAAGAGACAGGTTGATAGTTAATTAATCAATACTAGTTATTATTATCACATGCATATATTATAAGTATTACTTTTTATATTTTATAGATTCTAAAAGAACAAAAATTGAAGAACTTTTACATTATATTGAGGACCGCTTGGCTGAATTGGAAGAAGAAAAAGAAGAATTAAAAGTTTATCAAGATAAGGATCGTGAAAGAAGATGCTTGGAATACGCAATATTTCATAAGGAACAAACTGAATTGATAGAACAATTGACAAAGGTTTGTTTTAACAATGTATATATAATATATGGAGTTTTTTTTTATTATTTAATATTTAATATTTTGTTGCAGATGGATCAAACAAGAGAGCATAAAGTTCATAATTCAAATCAACAAAATAAAGATTATAATGTTTATGCACAAGCAATCACTGTAAGAACTATTATAATTAAAATATAATAAATATGAAAATTTATTTCAGGAATTAAATATTAATATATATTCATATTAAAAAAAAAATGAAAAGAATATTGAACATGAAATTTCTCAACTTCAAGAATCAATTGATCTTTTAAAAGTGGAAAAGCGTGAGCTTGACGAAGATTTACAAGATAAAATTAAATCAAATGCTCAAATAGAATTAACTATAAAAGATATGGAAGATACATCAAGGCAAAATAAAGATTCAAAGGTTTTTTGATTTTTTTTTTTTAGTGTTTTGAATTTTAAATTTTATTTATTTATTTTTAATACGACAAAAATATTTATATTTATTTTTTTATTTGTTTAGAAAAAAAGAGAAACGGAATTAAAGACAGTTGAAAATAGTATACGACAAAAAGAACTAGATTTAGCAAACATAATTCCAATATATGAAAATGAATTGGCTCAAGAGGCTGCATTGAGAGAAAGGTTTAATAATAATAACAATAATAATAATAGGTTTTTTTAATTTATACCGTTTTTTAAAAAAACACATACGTGCGTGTATATATAGATTAAATGAAACAGAGATGCGACGTCAAGCTCTTTATGCAAAACAAGGAAGAAGCACACAATTCCAAACACGTGCTCATAGAGATGCTTGGTTGCAGAGTGAAATACAAGAGATTGATAAAACAATGGATGCACAGCGACAACAGGTTAGGATCAAATATATATATATATATATATATATATATATATATAAATTATGGATGATGAATTGTATCAAACTCTTTATCTGTCTATACATAAAAAAAAAATTTTTTTTTACGAGTTAATTAGGAAGTAGATCTAGAATCGCAAATAAATGATTTAACAGAAAGTATAAATAGAGTAACGAATGAAATTCAAATAGCCCGAAATAAATTAGAACAAAGAAAACGTATCATTGAAGAAATGAATCGTGGTTATATTGAAAAAAAAGCCGAAAGAGATAGACTTACTGACAAAAGAAAGTATGTACAAAAATAAAAATAAATTTTATTTATGCTTCGGTTTTTTATTTATAATAATAATGAATCTTTTTTTAATAGGGAGCTTTGGAGGGAGGATTCTCAATTAGATACAAAACTTGTTAATGCACGTGATCAATGGAAAACTAATGAAAGGAGTTTGGCTAGTTCTATGGACAAAGTATTTGGTTTGATTTTTTTTAAAAAAAAACTTTTTTTCCCTATAAAAAGAAAAGTGATTTATTGAACAATTAATATTGATAATGAATAATAGAAAACTAATAATGGATTAAATGCCGTGAAACGGATTGCTGAGCAATACCAAATAAAAGGCGTTCACGGACCTCTTTATGAATTATTTGATTGTAATGATTCAGAGTATTGGACAGCTGTTGAAGTCACTGCTGGACAAAGGTATTATTATAATATGATATTTATAGATACACACAGATTATATAAAATTAATAATAAATGTACACTTTAATTTAATGGTAATTTATACTTTAAAAGCTTATTCCATGTAGTTGTTGATAATGATGAAATAGCCACAAAAATTCTTGATTATTTAAATCGCGAACAAAATGGGCGAGTTACATTTGTGCCTTTGAATCGATTAAAATCAAGAAATTTTGAATATCCAAATACAAATGAAATTTTACCTATGATAGATATTCTTAAATATAATGAAAAATACGCTAAATCCATTGAACAGGTTTTTACAACAACAACAACAACAATAATATTTATTTAAATATATAAATAAACAAATAAATATATATGCATTTATTATATTTATTGTGATAATATTATAAAGGTTTTTGGAAGAACAATAATATGTGATAGTTTAGATATCGCTTCTTCAATATCAAGAAGTCATGACTTGAACGGCATAACTTTAGATGGTATATTTTTATCTATAAATTTACTACTACCGTTATTATTATTATAAATAATCATTGAAGATTATCAATTTTAGGTGATCGTGTTGATCGTAAGGGAGCATTAGCAGGTGGTTATCATGATGTGCGTCGAAGAAGATTAGCAGCTTCAGCAAATTTAAAAAAATGGAGAATAGAATATTTAGAATTAGATAAAAGATCTAAAACTGTAAAAAAAGAAATATCTAATATCCTTTTTAAAAACCCCTATCATTGTAAACATGTAGACAAAAACTTTTTTTTGGGTCCTTAACTCTTATTTTTTTTTTTAATTAGTACATTTAGACGAACAAATTAATCAAATATTAAGAGATATGCAATTTATTGAGGCTAAACAAAAACAAGCTCTAGATAGTCGTGATCCTTTACTGTTTGAAATCAATTCAAAGACTAAAGAGGAAGAAAGTTTGAAAATGTCATTAGCTAGCAAGGTTTTTCTTTTCGCCTTCTTTCCATCAAAAAAAAAAAATATTATTATTTAATATAATAATTTTTTTATTGATTTATTTTATTTATAGAAAAAATCTTTATTAAGTATTCAAAGTAGCATTAAAATGTTAAATGCTCAAAAACAAGCTCATGTGACAGAGATGAGTACAGAGCTTACACAGAACCTAACAGCACAAGAACAACAATCTTTAGAACGACTTAATTCGGATATTGAACTGATGCAAGATAATTTATCAAAATTATTAACATCAAGATCTGAGGTTTAGATTATTATTAATATTATTTATATTCAAAATAATTATTGTAACAAACCCATGTAAACTTATAATCTATATTTATAGCTTGAGGCGAGCAAAAATATTATAGAGAATGAATTGAATGCAAATTTAAAAAGGCGACGTGAAGAACTTGTGATGCAAATAGAAAGTTTAAGCACCGCTGATGATGACCAACTACATTCAATTAAGGAAGGTTTAATGAAATTAATTCGTGAAATGAAGAGACGTTCGCAAGGTGTATTTACACGCATTTACATGCATTTTATTATTATTTATTTATTTATTTATTATTTATTGTTATTTATTGATTTTAATTTGAAAAAAAAGAAATCGAAGAAGAAATACAAAGGCTTAATAAAAAATTCAATTTAAAAAAGACTGAATCGGAAACATTAAAGGTAACGAAAATAAATTTCGTTGAGTTGGATTATATGCTACTCCCTTCATGTATTCTCATCCTCTCATTCATTCCTTTTTTTTTCAATTATTATTGTTATTATTTTGTATATAAAGTCTGAACAAGCAGAACGACAGCAACAATTGGAGAGGCATCAAAAAGATGTTGATAAATTTTTATCAAAAAGAAAATTATTGTTACAAAAAAAAGATGAATGCACAAAAAATATTCGTGAACTTGGTGCATTACCAGAAGAGGCATTCGAGGCTTATGTAAATGAAGAATCTGCTAGTGTGAGTTTCACGTTACATTAATTTTAGGTACAAATACATACAAATACACATATATATTAATTTGTATATTTGTTTTTTTCCTTTCAATTATTAGCTTCTTACTAAATTGCATATGGTAAATGATGGTTTAAAAAAATACAGTCACGTTAACAAAAAAGCTTTTGAACAGTATAATAATTTTACCAAGCAACGTGATACTCTTATGAAAAGAAAAGAAGAATTAGATCAATCAAAAAATGTATACGTTATATATATTTATATACAATGCTTGTTATTATTGAGGAAATCAAAAAATTAATATTGATATATTTTTTTTGGGGGAATTTTAGTCGATAAATGGGTTAATACAGGTTTTAGATCAACGTAAAGATGAAGCGATTGAACGTACGTTCAAACAAGTTGCTAAATACTTTTCTGAAGTATTTGAAAAATTGGTTCCTGCAGGTCGGGGACAATTAATTATGTTAAGAAAGATTGATAGGGTACTCGCTTTTTTATTTATCTTTATTAAAATTTTTAATTTTGTTTGATTCTACAAAATATAATAATAATGATTGATCAATATAGGGAAAAGAGGTAGATGATGTTGACGATGAAAATAATGAAACAAGTAATAGTTCAGTAGATAATTATAGTGGAGTTGCTATTAATGTTTCTTTTAACAGTAAGACTGATGAAGGTCTTCGAATGCAACAATTATCTGGAGGACAAAAATCTTTAGTGGCATTGACTCTTATCTTTGCTATCCAACAATGTGATCCTGCTCCCTTCTATTTGTTTGATGAAATTGATGCTGCACTTGATGCTCAATATCGAACTGCTATTGCATGTAAGGAATTTTTATTAATTTAGTCCTTATTTAATCCTTTTTTTAAAAAATGCAAATTCTCCATTTAATTATGTGAATTATCATTTTAAAGCAATGATTCATGAATTATGTGACAAAGCTCAATTTATCACAACTACTTTTCGTCCAGAAATGTTAGCAAATGCTGATAAATTTTATGGTGTAACTTTTCAAAATAAAGTTTCAAGTGTTAGTGAAATAAGTAAAGATGATGCACTTAAATTTATTACACAGGTAACTTTTTTTCTTTAAAAAAAAGATTCCTTTTGAAAAGAATAAAAATTATTAATCGATTTTTTTAATAATATTATTATTATTAAATAGGAACAACCACGATAAAAAATTTATGCTAACAAAATAAATGAGAATGATAATAGTACCTAAAGATTTTTTTTAATTATATTAATAAATGAACACGCGCATGTATATAAGATTTATGATATAAAGCACAATAATAATTTCATTTATTCAAATCAAACATATATATATATAATAAACCTACCTTTAGAAATCATACTGACGTAACAATTTGTATTATTATCATTATTATTGCTGTTGTTGTTGTTATTGTTGTTACTTTTTAAATTGACCATGCAGAAAACCATTTACTAAAATCTAAACGTAATAAAAATTGATCAAGATGTCTTGGTGGACCATCAAATCCCTCGCCAGTTTTATTAACTTCAGATAAAGTTCGAAACAAAAATGATATTTGTTCACGGAAGTCCTTTTATTTATTTTTTGGTTAATCAATTAAAATGTCAATAATGTAAATCAAGTATAATGAGAAATTATTAATAGAAAAATACTTTCTTACATTTTCTAATTTTATAATCATTTCAATTTTATTATTATTATCATCTTTAATATCGGAATTATTAACAACATTCCATCTTTCTAATATTGTACAAAATTGTTCACAAATCTTTAATGACGATTTTATAGTTTCTGAACATACTTTAAATTCTAGTAAACATCCACGTAATAAATCATTAAGATATGAAGCATGACCCAAACGAATATCTTCAAAATCTCGAAGTGTTTCTTCCATTTCAGAATAGTTTTTATTCTTATTATCTGCTACTGGTTTTTTTGATGCATTTGCATTTGTGTTTATGTTTGTGCTATGATTATTATGTTGTTGATGGTGAGCAGATGAAATCGTTATACGTTGAACTAATTTGTAAAAATTTGAATCTATAATATCCATCTGTAAACATATAAATATATTTAAATTTATTCAATAATAATGATAATAATAATTTTTTAAAATAATAATAAATTCAAACGATATAACCTGCATATGTTCCCATAAACAATCAACAAAAAACATCATCATAGAACGAATTTTCCACGGTAACAGTTTATTATTATCGTTATGATTTTTTTTTTTATATTTTTTGTTGTCACCTTGTTTTGTATTAGCATCTTCTTCTTTAAAATATTTTTCATTAAATGAAAGATGAATCCATGCTCGTTGAAGTTTTAACTGGGTCCGTCTTATTGATATTAAGAATGAAAAGATGTCACCATACTTGCTCAAATCTTCTGATGTAACAAATAAATCTAATGGCCAATCAATATTGTATTCAAGTCTAAGTGAAATTCCAAACACAAAGTCGTCAAATAAATTATTAGGTGATGTTTGTAAAGCATTATTATTATTATTATTATTATTATTATTTTGTTGTTGTTGTTGTTCATTTGAAAATGGTGATGATGATGATGATGATGATGATGATGATGATGATAATGGTAAAAATTTGAAATTAAATTTTTCTAATCTAAAATCATTTTCTGCTAATGTTCCTACCGAAGCTCTAATCAAAAGAGAATTTAATTCTTGCTCTTTGATTGATATGATTCTTGTTGATAATCTTGGGATTGTGATTTTTTCAAACTGTTCAACCAACGATAAAGCAAAATTTCCTTTACCAAGTAAAAAATAATTTCTAAATGTTTCAAGACAATCTATAACCTTTTCACCTGTTAAAACAACTTGCCATAACCATTTTGCAACATTGTGACGAATTGTCAAGATCGTGCTTTCAAATTCACTTTTATGAAATATAGGTTGTGAAGAAAGTTCCATCAAATATTTCAGATGCAATGACCTAATTTCTTGTGGTAAAGCACTATTTGAATTGTATGACGATGATGACAGTGATGATGATTTACCAGAATTTTTTACCGTTGCAATTGCTTTTCCTACAAATAATATTGATTTAGCAATATCAATTGAAATGTGATTCGGAATAAATGACTCATCAAGAACAAATCTTCGATGCCAACTTGATTGAATGAATTGATGATTGTTGTTATCTTTGTCATTGTTGTCTATTTTTTTGTGAGATTTAGTGGTTAAATCTTTGACAAAAAATTCACCATAAGGATCTTGCAAATGTCCGTAAACAATCCAAGATGTGATATGCTGATACATAACCTTATGACAGGTTTGTAACAATATCAGCATAATTGATCTCAATTCAGGAATTCCACTATTACATTTTTCTTTCATTAAATTTAATATTCGACAACCAAAATATTTATTATTGTCTGAGTCTTCTTTTAACTCATTAATCAGCTGATATAAATTTGGTAAAATTATAAAATAATCACCAAATGCTGATACTATTTGAGAAATTGGAACAATTCCACACATGTTAGCTTCTTTGTTTAAAATTCCCATTTCCGATTCAATTATAATTTTTTGAAAATCTTTTAATATATCATTTATAGAATTACATAAAGCCTGTATAAATAATCCTTTTGAATTATTGTTGCTATTGTTACTGTTGTCATTGGACATGACGAGACATTTGTTCCTTTGTTGATCCAAGAAATCTAAGATTTTATGATAATAAAACCCTAATTCGGCAAGTCTTTCCAATGAAGATCTCTCAGCATCATGTAGAAAGGGAAAGTCTGGTGGAATTTTGAAGGTTTCTGGTTGTTCAGAACCTGATGGATATTGAACAAACAAATCACCAGAGTACCCTGATAATGCTAATAGTAATTCGTGAAGCATTTTTTTTTTAAATTATGAAATCTGTACTAGTACTAATACGCGTGACATTGGGCCTTTATATGCAGATCTATAAAATGTATGAAAGATTCGGCTCTTTTAAGTAAAAGATTAAGTTTTCATTTAAAAATGAGTTTATGCCTGTAGCCAAAAAATTGAGGTACTTTAAATTTTATTAATAGAATTTATATATATATATGAAATTATTAATCAACTGCTGTGATAACATTCATTTGTTCCTTATTTCTTATTTATAACCCTCGATATTTGTTGTAGTTTGTACCAAAAAAATATTCCAACTAAAAGTTTCCTAATGTCTTCTAAATTGTTCTCGTTCATCACCATTATTCACCAAAACTTATTCGTACTCCTTCCTTACTCTGGAGTACGACATGAAATATCTAGTCACCACATGATGCATCAATAATAATTATTAATAAATAGTGGCTATGATATGGCTTTTGCTTCAAGATTTCTTGATGCTGGTAAGTGGATCACTGAAGATTGCGACACAGAGGAATATTAACGATTGTAAAGGGTGGAGCTTTTGGTGGGTGAAAGGATACGGCACTTATAACGTTTGATGGAACAAACTCCACTAACTGCTATAACTGTTTCCTGGAATACTCCAAGAGTTAATTCTAATACATCTGTCACAAAAGGTTACGGTCCCAAATATACCGCTAATCCCATCTTAACTGGCCCTGATGACGAACTTTGTACAGTTACCATTAAACAAATTGGTGTACATGTAAATGAATTTTTTTACCATATTTTTATTTTATCAGCGAAATGATAATAATTGTCATTACATTTTTATCTATCTATCTATCATCTAAATTTACTTTAAAGATATATGTGTAATTTCTAACTGGTATCAATCTATTTTCTTGGAACAATTTTTGTAAATTGCTGTCTCAATTCGTTTTATAAAATATAAAATCTTAATTCACAGCCTGGTGCAACAAAATCTATATTATTGTTGTTGTTGTTGTTAAAGGATTTTTTAACTATTTGTAAAATTATAAATGAGGTCTTATTACCTTTAATAAGATAATATAGATTACAATAATTATATTTATAATCTATATATTACTACACTATGGTTACTAGTATTATGCATGACTTAAGAAAAGAACGTCAATTACTTCTGCCACTACTATTTATTATTATTATTATCTATCTACAAGGACTACGAGAAAAATATTTTGGATTAGCAATTTGCACACATGTTGTGCGTGAAAATCAAACTCGCGCAGATTTCAAACTCACGCACAACGCATATGGGATTTGGACTAGGAAAATCAACCTCTCAGCTGATTTTTTTATTTTAAGTTTTTTTACTTAGTATTAATCTATTATACAAGGATTAGATACAATTGGAGGAAAGATTGGATCTTGTTCGCATATTAGAGGAATGAGATATAGGGCTTGGAATACTTTCTTTGTATATTAAAAACATGCGTAACCAATTTTAAAAGGATTGTTACTAAAAATAGATTTTTGCCTGAGTGGTAATCTAATTCCCATATTATTTTACATCTGATCAGTGTATAAAATTCAATGTGCGGAATGTGCGGGTGTAACATCGTACATTAGTAGTTTTCTGCAGATAGTTTCTAAATTTGTAGAAATCTGCATTAGTTACACGCTGAAATTTACACACTAGGGCAGTGTTGTGCAATTGGAACATTGTAACGCTATTGGAATGTTCCAATGTAGATCTTCAATTGATATCATATGGCTCACGTTACATATAATCATCAAATTGCTGCATCATGCGCTGAAATTTCAAAAAATTGTTTTCCCAATTTTTTCAGATTTGTTAAAAACACGGTTTTTGTAAAAATCACAAGATCAGTTAAAAAATTTTTTTTTTTAAAAAACCAATTAAACTAATTCCCAAACTTAAAAACTGTAAAATGCCTTACCCATCCAAATGCAAAAGTCAATTAAAGGATCCAAGAACACAAATTGAAAAAAAGAGTATGTTCTAGAATTAAATTACATAAATATCTTGTAAATAAAATTAATATCATTTTTGTTTTTGAAAGGTGATGATGAATTATTGTTCAATGATGTTATTGTAGATGTTGATGATGAATTGTATATTATTATGAGAAATGAAAATAATGAAAACAATGAAGAAAGTGATTATTATATAAGTGATTATGATTTAACTGACAATTCAGGTAGTGAGGATGAATGGAGCAATATAGATTTGACAAACCACTTGTGAAATCATTTGAAATTACAGAAGAAGCAATTGCTAAACAAAATCTAAATTCATTTGAGGTTCTTAAAGAAGCTTCTATAAAACCAGGTGCATTTTCATTGCCCAACAAAAGACCATTAATTTATTCTGGGGATGCTAAATCAACTTTATGAAATAAAAGGCATGCAAATAAACTTGCTGCAACTGGATCTAAAAAAATTACATAATTTTTTCCATTGCAAGCATCAAGATTATTTCATCATCATCATCAAATAACACTAATGATATACCTTCTTCTTCATTAAATGAACCTGATATCATGCCTGTCTTTGATGTGGTAAGTACTGCCAATGATATTAATAATGAATATTCTTTACCAACATTAGAACATAAGATAAAAAATGAAAAAGAATTGGACCCAAGGTTGCAGTATACTGCACAGTATTTAAGACTTGTCAATTCAGGTTACAAAAAAATGGATGCCAGCAATATTATTGCACAATCCTTAAACAGAGGTACTTGGTGTGCAAGATTAATAAGAACATGGGGGAAGCAATATTCAAAAAATGGTGAATTGATAGCATCCAAACAAGGTAAACATCAAAAGGTAAAGTCAATTATCTATGATGAAGATGTGGAGTTGAAAATTTCAGAATATTTGAGAGTTAATAAGTTTGAGGTCACAATAAAAAAGTTCCAACAGTTTGTAACAGATGAAATCCTGCCAGATCTTGGCATAGAAAATAAAATATCAATAAGTGATAGTTCTGCAAGGAGATGGTTAATACAAATGGGATTTGTATATAAAAAATATAGAAAAGATATTTATTATGACGAGCATGAAAGAGAAGATGTTGTCAATTATAGAAAAGAATTTTTACAAAAAATGAATGATTTAGAACCATTGATGCCAGAATTCAGTGATGATTTGTCTACACAAATTAACCCTACATTAGGAAATGGTCAAAAATTACACATTCTTGTGACTCATGATGAGTCAACCTTTTATGCCAATGATGGTAAACAAAAAATGTGGCTACCTGAACATGAACAACCATTAATTCCAAAGGGTCTTGGTGGAAGTATAATGGTAAGTGATTACTTGTGTGAAACCATTGGGAGGCTAAAATTAGATGATGCACACATCAGGAAATTAATTTAGCGTAAACTTGCATAAATCTTATGATGCCAACGTAATATTGTGTAAACCTTACAGTGCTGACGTAAGTTTTACACTTTTTTATTATTAAACTTACAATTGACACATGTAAAATTTTTTTATATTTTCCGGATGCATATACAAATTAATTCAGATTTGCTGCCTGGTCAACAAATACCAAAAGAAGCTTGCGTAATTATTCATCCAGGTGCTAATAATGAAGGATACTGGAATTGTGATAAAATGGCAAAGCAATTAAAAGAAAAGGCAATTCCCATTTTTGAAGCCATGTATCCTGGATGTGTGGCTGTTTTTTGCTTTTGACAATAGCACTAATCATGGAGCTTATGCTTCAGATGCTTTGTTAGTAAATAAAATGAATTTGAACCCAGGTGGTATACAGCCTAAAATGAGAACAACAACAATGAGAGATGGCACCATTCAGGAAATGGTGTTTGAAGATGGCACTCCTAAAGGTATGAGAGTAGTTTTAGAAGAAAGAAATTTGTGGAAAGAAGGATTAAAAAAGATTTGCCATGATTGTAAAAATCATATTAATGTTCAACAAAGAAGTGATTGTTGTGCATCAAAGATACTTTATTTGGAGCATGATTTTGCTTCCCAAAAATCTCTACTTACTGAAATAATTGAGAATGCTGGTCACAAGGTAATTTTTTATCCAAAATTTCATTGTGAATTGAATTTTATTGAAATGTTTTGGGGAGCAGCCAAACAATACACCAGACAAAACTGTAACTACTCATTCAAAGGTCTTAAGAAAACAATATCAGAAGCATTGGAATCTGTTCTTTTATTGAAAATAAGAAAATTTGCTAGAAAAACACAAATATATATGTGCTTATAGAATAGGTTTAACAGGCAAACAAGCTTTGTTTGTTGTAAAAAAGTATAAACCTCATAGATGTGTGCCTGTTTCAGTTACAGATGAATTGGATATCATGAACATTTAATAAATTTTACATGTCACGTGATTTGTCTTCAATTTTGCCAAGAATTACCTAAAATGGAAAGTGCTCAAATTTCATGAACATACGTAACAGAGGAACGGGACCACCCTGGTTTGTGCAAAAGTGCGAGGAACGGCACCTCATACTCAGCGACCTTATAGGGGACGGCATCCTTAAGGAAACTCTCTTGCATGAGTGGAGGAACGGCACCCACCTGAGCTGCACATGTACTATAAATAAAAAATAAAAATTTATGTTATACTTGATTTACAAGTAATGTTGCAATCTGCCGAACTGTCTCGTCTGTTTCTGCATTATTAATTATGAATTTAAGTGCATTACAAATCTTTTATGCCATATTGAGAATAGTTCATTTGTACTTTTATTTTCTTTCATGATGAATAGCCTCATTGTCCTTGAAAAATCATCAAATGACCATTTTGCAGGTGTGGTATTTTGGAAGTATTCTGAAATGGAAATATCTAAAAAAAGTTGCAAACATTGTTATTATAAATAAACTATCTACAAAAAATTAATCTTCCAAAAAATGTACATGAAACACGTAAACTTTTTTTAATTACAAAGACAACGCTTACCAATTACATCCATAAAAGTAAGATTATTACCAGTGTTATTCGAATCCAAGTCAAAATTTGATGTTTTGTCTGTCATTTTTTGAAGGGAAATGAAATATTAGATGTTATTGAATCAGTCATTGTGTAAACATTATTATTAGTAACGCGTCTGACACATTTTTTATTCGTCAAAGGTTGGGTTACACGATCAAAGATCTGCGTCATTTCAATACGGTGCAGATCATCTATAATCATTAATTGCTTATAGTAGCAATTGGTCAACTTCAAAATACTAAAACAAAAAAAATTTATATCATTTTAAAAAATTTAACCGATAAGTTTTATTGTTCATGACTC